ACTGTACGGTCCTTAAAGAATCAGATCAATTTAAAATTAAATCAATTTCTTATGCTAAAAAGCAATCACTCACAAGAAGTAATACGCTCACTGTAATCAATAAACGTGAAATAGGTATACTTTGAAAGTATGTGAAAAAATAAAATATGTGAAAAAAAGTGGGCAAATGAATGAATAAACGGTAGCTTAAAAATCCATTAGTGGAAGCACAAGAAATTAATCGACACATATCTTTTATGCAATAATCATATTAAATAAAAAAAAAATTTTTTTTGAATTAAAATTTTTTTTACTGAAGACATTGATTATTCCTCAATTACAGGATGGATGACCCATATATCAGGCTGAACTTAGATTTATAGAAAGCATTATGCCGATTGGTCAAAAACAGCATCAGCGGTAAGCAAGCAAGGGTTTCATGTAATCCTGGCACACAAATAAATAGTTCATAAAAAACAAGGTGAATTTCTCACCGCCAAAAATACGAAGCACTAAGAAAGTGATTCGAATATCGGGTTAGCCATCAGTCATTTGGGAGTAGTGGTGTTCAGTAGAAATGATCGCCACCGCAAACGGAATAACAACATCCGGTAACCCAACAAATGTGTCTTTCGACGAGCCCCGCCCAGCTATTGCTTCCTTCTCATGCGCTCATATGTGAACCTTGGGGGTAAAACTTCACTGCATCTCCAAATACTGATTCTGAATATACCTTAGTAAAGCATACCGAGATATTCTCATGTATATTCCTCTTTAATCAATACCGAGCAGTGGCAACTATTTCGCATGAATTCTCTACTTTGATGTAGAAAAATGAAGCAACTGAAGGAAGAAATTTTACTTACAACTGCTAAATATGGGAGCATTCATACTGATATAGAAGACATCACCTTCCTTACCAAATATTGCCAACAAGCTGATGATCGCGATCGCTCTTGACCTTCGATCAATACACGGAACGGACTGTGTATGTGTATAATGTCAACTTCTGAAGACAGTAATAATCTGTACAACGTATAGTTCGAATTTCTAGTTCCATCCGTTTCATACCGAAACTGACAAAATATTACATCAGTTGCTGAGAATATGTGACAATATCTTCAGCTTAAATTTACCGAAGAAACTTATTTGTTCAAATTATCTTATGGAAAAGTCGAGTCCATTTCGGAGCTCATACGAAGACTGTATGAATAAAGGCAATTATAAATTAAAAAGGATAAGCTTGCAGAATGAAAGAGAAGTTAAAGAATTACAGAAGAGATAAAAATCTTTTTAATTTCAAATTATTTATGGAATGTAGTGACATACTAGTAATACTAAATAAAAATAGAGCCACGATGTTGAAGGAAATAATCTTTTCTACAGATGAGAAGCTGTAAATAATTTAATGTGATAGCAAAAGAATTTGAGGAAGGGGATGAAATTATCTTCTTGTCAATTTTCAATTCACTATTTAGCTTACCCATTCAAGTTATTCATTCGCCATACAAATCGTATCGGAATTAAAAACACTTCTATAAATTCTACACAGGTGTGCTCACTACATTTCCATCGATAATTAGCTATTTTTGGGTTTGTGTACGAAGTACTTGTGTGTGTATATATATATACATGCATGTATGCATGTGTATTATAGCCAGGAGTATATATATATGTCTGCACATGCATCACTTTTAATGGCGAAAACTCATTGCTGTGAGTTGATATTTATTTAAACCGTACGCAACGATGCCAAATATCTTACAACCAAAGGTCGGAAATGTTGCGTGGCATTTTTATGCCGCCATCGTCATCGATACGACCAGCTTAGTCATGCACACATACTATTCAAACAAGATCTCAGGCAGATAAATATATACACATACACATACGTTACACAGAAACATACACACATACATACATACTTCGAATACTACACTTCGATGATCAAACAATTCTTTTAGCGATATAAGTAAAAGTAGAATTAGTTGATAATATCGGAGGATGATTTCTTTTATTTAAAGAACAAACATTTTAGGAGCCCCAAGTGTACATACTAGTATTTTAATGTTTGAATTTAGCCTCAAATGTTTTCAAGAATGATATGAAAGACTAATCTGGATTAAAAAGTTTAACATTATAAGCGAGAAAAATGTATGGATCGAGTATCACAAAATTCCTAAAATTATAAAAGTGATGATCGGCAACTTTTTGTTGACCCGAAAATGAAGTATACAAAATGGTTTTATAAACGGGAAGACAAGAAATGCATGTAGGAAAGCACTGATGGTGACAAAATGGTGCCTTCCTGCATGTTAGTAAGGACAGAGCGTCGGCATTCCATGCAATGAGCAATGCCTATATAACTTCGAAGTATGAGTAGTGCACGCAGCTAGCCGACGTGGATATTTTGTCCCTTTCCATGTCATGTCAACTCATGTACCATACAACATGCATTTATTTTTATTGTTTCGTTGATTGAAAATCAGTCAAGTTTTCATGACCCTTGAGAGTTCGTTATGAACAGTTACCGAAGACGACAGTTATAAAATATAGTTATATGCCGATGTTCCAGTGATAATAATTCCCCAAAATAAATGGTTAGTAAAAACTTATTTCCCTTGTATTAAAACTTTGACCTGCATTGTAGAGGCAAGATACGAAAATATATTGTTATATATTGTTAATTACATGTCAATAAAAATTTTTTTTCCCCACTTAACATGTTTAATAGTAGAGAGGATTTTATCACTTAATTCATAAAATGGCATACACTCAAAAAAGCCACATTACCGAGTATTGTTCGATGAATAATAATTTACTATTAGGTGTTAAGTATTAATTATTATATTTAGTTTGCTGGGAGATGTGTTACAACAACAGAAAGTCTTTTTTTGTAACCACAGTAACCATTTGACCAAATACAGCAGCTACTCACTAAACAGGGAACCACTGTCTCGAAAGTTTGTCCTATTACAACTTTGCTGACGAGAAAAGTGAAGTCCTGAATAAGCAGCCCATTAATCAACCTTTTATTCAGCTTTCCGTGCAATATTTGATTGAACAACTAAATCAGCATTCTTTGTCTCAAATAGAGTAAGTAAATTTAAAGAAAAAGGAGGAATAGACCACTCCAAAAAACTAAGTGAAATGAATGAATGGAAGAAAAATGGTAATTGAACGGCGGCAATAGCACTTGCACCTACAAACGTAACACTGATATAAACATGCTCCATTTGTTAACACATGCTATCTAAACTGCTTTATGATTCCAAACTGCGCTATAGTGTTTTAATAAAAACCCCACTTGATAAATCTGTCAATCAACTAGAACTCTCATTTCTTCCTCGCAGCTTTTGATTAACGGAAATGATTCCTTTCTGAAAATTATATAATATTTGAGATGATATAATATCTATCTTACCTAATGGAAGGTGAGAATGTTCAAAAGATAATAAATGTATACGATTATAATGCGACAATTGGTATGAGAGCAAGGGACTTAGCTAAGCAAAATTATTGCTCGTACTTTATTTAGCCTTATAGTTTTATTTACAAGACAGACTAGCTTTTTTTATAGATATTGTAATTTAATCAGATTATTCATTACATAAAGAGATTGTTACGCTGATTTCTAGCCTAATGGCTACAATGGAGTAAGCAACCTGATTATTGCTCTAAAAAGCGATAGAGTTCAACGATAGCTGGTAAGGCATAGTTGTCGTATGCTTGACTTGTTGCAATTGGCCTTCATATGTAACAACGGTTGTAATATCGATAATGTAATGAACGAATGCCCTTCACGTCTTTATGATCACTAGACCGTGTCCCTCAGTACCCTTATGACGGATATAATCTATGTAGATTATGTAATCACAATCAACATACATTCATTCCTCTATTTATCATCCATTTTATTTAGCTTATTTTTTACCATTTTATTTATCTTCTTACCAACATTGTAAAAGTAACACTTTTAAAGTCAGTCAATCTCTAAAGTCTGAAATTTTCTGAGCAGTAAATAATACCAACTTGGTTCTATTTATAACAACATAATTGAAGAAATGTTTCTATGCCCCACGAAATATATACAGTAGTAATAGTTTCGGTTATGATTTAGGATAATTAGGATTATTTGCACCTTAGAAAATTAAGGCTTTGGAAATTTGGTATCTGATCAGTAAATGCAGCACTTCCAAAATAAAAAGAATGAAATGATCAAAGTAGATTTCAAGAGGTTATTATAACTTTAAGCAGTAAATACGTGTAATTCAGGTCAGTAATCTTTAAAAATCTGCCGAAAGTACAGTACAAAGACAGAACTTCTTTTGACATTACGATCCATAGTCTTGATTGAAGATACTGCTTATCAATGTCATTTCTTTGCAAAAAGTAACGATTACTGTTTGTAAACAAATAGCAAATGACACACCACTTTTTGCGAAATATTGAAATGAAGATACAAAGAGAGAAAAAGAAGAGAAAGAAGAGTTAATATTCTTTTTTTTTGCTTGATATTGGAGATTCCCTTGCTCATCCTCTCTCTCACATTTCCTTTCATTCTTCCTAATTACTAAATAACAAACGGAGGAGGAAAACGAAAACGAGGGCGAAGCCGATGTGATATTGGATTGTCCATTCATAAATGGATGCATAGACCTCGCCGCCTTAATTATTCCTTTGATGCCAACGGGGATGAGATTCACTGTCCCACAATTATCAACATCATTTCCACTGTCATCCTCATCATTGACGGTACCACTAATAGTGAAAGCAACAATAAACAAAAACTAATTGAAAATTTCTATCTTTTGGGACTTTAAAAGCACTAACGTATACTAACGTTACCAGCTATGTTGCCAAATTAGAAAAATCCCCTCCCAATTAGTTTTGTGATGCTACAAGCCGGATGAATTTTATTCTTTGGAACATATTTGCAATTATTATCTCTACTAAAATGCGGTCTTGACAACTTATAACAATTGGATCAAGAAATACGAAGGACACAATAGGATGAGTGGATGTCTCAGAATTTTAGGGATAGTCGTAAGACATCGTACAAAGCATATTTCATGTTGAGAAGCTTATCCAAAAGCTTAGTCAGTACGAGATTAAGCGTTCAATTTACAGCTGATATTATTATAGCGCTCATTTTCATACGACTGTATCTGACAAGCAGTGGTATCACTATCGACAGACAACTTTCATTGACTGCTGATGAAATCCTGGCGATCTCAATGAACTCCCAAGAGCGATTTTGTTATCCTCTGATCCTATTTAATGAAGAAATTACACTCTAAAATTCTGGATCGAAATGACCACTGGACTCAGTAGAGAATTGCATGTAACATTTGCAGCAATGGTTTTCCTCTTTCTCTTTTATCCCTTTCGGGAGACTTTTTTTCCTTTCCATCTTTCACTAAGTGATTAGTTCCCCTTCTTTTTTTCGATACAAAAAATATTTTACTGACCCATAGATCCTAGTAAAAGCCTGAGCAGTGAGGCTCTGAAACAAAAAACCGTGCGCGATGCATTTTACTGTGAAATTCAATAGTTCATATTTATTGGACAAAACATTAACAGTGTGCAGAGGAAAAAGTATTGCATTCAAGAATACTGCGCCTCAAAAAAATACTCAAATATCAAATCATGCCACAGAATTGTTTAAATCAAAAAATTTGAGAAAAGGAGAATAAATCATTGTCTATTATGCCACCATTTTGAGAACTTATTAAGCTAAAGCGTTCCATGCATATCAGTTTTTACAATTGTTCATTTTCCTTTTTTCACCGCTAACATTAAAAAACTAGGACTTCTGTAAATCACCAGAAAATCCTGGGCTGAAAGGCTGTTTCCTTTGCAAATGATCTCAATCTACTTCTGACTTCACGGATACGACGCTTTTCTATCTTGTAATATAGATATTCCATAAATTTAGGACTAATGGTATTAGCTATTAAATGATTATCAATTCATCATCTGACTGGTTGCTCTTACAAGTTAAAGATGCGTTTTAAAACAATATTTACGAAACTAACATGCAAAACATTTTTTTGTCTCTACTGCAGTAGCGGGCATTTCACACACTGCAAGAACTAATCATTTACAGCTGATCTGAAAAACAGAAATGAAAAAGTAAAGGTGCTGTCGAAGATATTCAAGCAACAAAATATTTTATTAAGAATGAGAAGGAGAAGGGATCGTTATGAAGCGGCAACTAAACGGTGTAGTAAAACGTACTTTTAACTATAGAAAAACCGCCTAAGCTTTTCCAGACAAGCATAACACTGAATGCCACAAATACATATGCATACGGCACGAACTACTACTAATTCGCATATAGCTATCAATCGTTTCCTTGCTTTCGTCTCATATTACGTCTTTAACAAAAAATTTCTTTCGAACAAAAATTTTTGCTCGGAGGAACTTTGAAATCATTGCAGTTGTACACAATATTGCTTTTAAATCCAACAACCAAATTTCAATTTGAAAAAATCGACTTCAGTTTGATTGTGACTAACACATACGATTAGAGTAATCCAAAAAAATCCGAATTTCATAAGTGGACTGGGAAACAAAGAGTGAAATTCTCAGTGATCTGTTTACTAAATTATTTATGTCTAAATAATAAATTCAAGAACAAAACTGCTGAAAATAATCTAAAGAGTATGGAGTGTCTTTTTTCTTTTTTACAATAAATAGATGATGAAACGAGAATTATTAAAAAAGCTCTTATTATATTCGAGACTTCAGGCTTTTTCAAAATTAATTCAGAAATAATTCTGTACTTGAAAGAAGAGAAATGGAATTTGAGATTTATTAGAGCTAAACAGGAAATCGAAGACTGTTTTTAAAGTATATTATTAGGACCCCTATCCGGTATTGAAAATATGAAATCGCCATAACATATTTATTACTAAACAAAATCCTCGAGTATTGTATTGAGGATGATCAGCTTTATTTTAGAACTGTTTTTCCTGTAAAATCTTTCGTTATCAATTATCAAAAATAAGTCAATTATTTGCCTGTTATGACAATAAATTATCATCGCTTCCTCATTCTCTCAATTTGAGGTAATCCGAACTATTAACAAAATGAAAATAAATATGCAGTTCCTACTGTCATGATTTCGTTGATCATGAACTAAATATAAATATCGTCTACAAATGGATGAATGCATTAGCGGGTAAAATCTAGTTCCTAATGGTTTCATTTCCATCAGCACCACCAAAGTCCTTTCTTTTCATGATGTTCAATCCTTCCTCTTCATTTCCCAGTTTATTAACCTTTTACAGAGGTTCAAAGGTGTGAAGATCACCCACTAACATGTTCACTTTTAATTCATTTTTGTTTTGAAATGATATAGAAAAATATTTCGTAGTGGCCTTGTGATAGATTTTGCTCACAACTAGGCTGCAAATACTTCAGTGAGCTTGAAAATAAGGTATAACATGGCAGAATATAGGAAAATAGAAAATGCATGTTACATTACGCCGCCATTGGTACTTTGCTCCCTCTGCTGATTCCAGTTTTTCATTTAATTCTAGAACAGCAGCTTGTTCCACGCTACCACAAAGATGCACAGCTATTCAGGCATTTATGAGCATGTTTTTGGGAACCATTAGAACAAGAAGTGATTTAGCAGCGTGAACGGATTTTTATATATGCAAATAAAAAAAACAGATTAAAAAAAAAACTATCTTCAGCGTTTTTTTGCTTTTTAATTAATAAACAGAGCATTCCGCAATGCAGTTATGGATATTCATCTTAGACTGTCCTAGACAGATGAACAATAAGGACAATAGCGGCGAAACTGTGTAAGTTAAAAACGGTAGTAGTTTTCAGATGCAGATATAACAGTGTTGACATTGCTCAAAGAGGGGTAAGTTGAAAATGAGAGAGAGAGGAAATTAGGTCTTACAGGACAATACGCTTTAATTATTCAAATAAATATACTTCAAATTTCTTCCGGTGCAGGTAGATTAGGAAAGGTAACTTTCTCTGCTGATCAAAGAAGAATACAACTTAGTCTGTAGTGATGTAGATTATTTTAATCGCATTCATTCACCGAACAAACTTGAGAAATGGTTCTTGCAAGCGTCAGCGATCAATTTCGTTTTAAAAATATGATTGCATTGCGCCATCAATTTCAGGAAATTTAGAATAATGTCCGACATTCAGGTATTATGATTTTTCAACTTTAATATAGAAATAATTAGTTCGAAATCCAAAATATTATTGAATATATGGCTACTCAAAATCTATTCTGAACTGATTTCAGAGATAGGTGACCATGTTAAGCATCTTTTTTCAATATAAACAGAAGAACTAAAATCGCCTGTTACGAAACCGAATCAAATTAGACAGCATTTTGCCATAAAACTTTATTCATTCATGAAAAACTAAGTTGCAAAAATAGCATTAATATATCCTTCCAAAATTTTTCGGCTTGTCCTAATTTTATTTAGTTTTTAAATCAGTTCCTTAAAAAAATTATTTTTCTTAAACAATAAAAAAAAAATTATTTTTCTTAAAAACAATATCACGGGAATCACGGGAATTAATGTTATCTTATCAGACACAACATACAAAAACCTAATCAGTACAAAGAAAAAAAAATCTTATTGCATTTTTTCTAGCAGTTATGTAGCACTAACTTTTTTAATATTAAAATCTTTAGCGATGTTGTAGTGACTGCCTTCAGCAAGAAATCACAAAATTCTATTAGAACTGTCGATTGGGTTGTTTGAAAAATTCTATCTTAAAGGAAAAAATTATAAAAACTTCATTGATTCTTTAGGTATATCCAACATTATTAGGTACCTTTATCAATGTGGAATTATTTTGCCGTACTTTTTTATGTAAGACTGAAGAAAGGACATGATTGACTAGCAGCTTCAAAACGCTACCAGTAAGGTCGAAAATTATAACAATGATGCAGTTTTTGTCTATTTTGTTGATGCACAATCGTCATGTCATATCACACAAATTGGTAGTAATGATCATGACTGTACACATGTTTTTTAAGTTTATTACCTCATAAGTTATGCATTTCTTATGGGTGCACAACTTCAAGCATATGAGATACAATTCACGAATAGTATAGAAAGTCCAGTGAATCTTACAAAAAGATTTTAAAATATGTTAACCATAGTAAAAGACGAAAAGTTTTATGCAACCACAATAAAGTTTTAAGGCTTGAAATACTCCAATTAAGACTTGAGTAAACGAACTTCGAGTCTACATTCATTAAATATACCAATCACTTTCCACTATCGTAAGAAGCAATTGATGCTGACTGTAATTGATAATCAGAATAATCAGCACTGAAACTTTTTGAAGAAAATTTCTGTAAAAGTTGCAGAACTGAAGCATAAAAAGTACAGAAGAAATGCAGCTTATCATTATCCTCACTTCAAAAGTAATCAGCCATTGGATAAGTCAACATCAACATTTTTGTTTGCATCCAGTTTTTTTAATTCATTGTTTATTCATTGTGTCCTTTTCAAATCTTTTTTGGAGTTGCGAAGACATCATCAGATATCACTTATGAGGAAAAATGATTGTAAAACCTGTTTGTGAGTTATCAAATGTTACAAGCCTATAACTAGTCTAGGATAAATCCTTAATATACGTAGCTTGCTTGAGTTTTTTTTTTTTTTTTTAAACAGAGAAATATAAGGACGAATGATAGCAACCATTTTCGCCATAATTTAATTTCAAATGTCGTGACATCGTATACTGTGACCTTCGTTACGAAGTAATTTTTGGTCAGTTGTTCATTTTAGACTAAATACAGTTTGTTGGTTAAAGAGTTATTATCAATGTCATCAATAAACGACCGTCAAAATCTTCATTTAAGATATTGAAGAGAATTAAAAAACAACAAACTGTAGAAGAAAAAAATCTGAATTTTGGATTTAAATTAGTTACTAAAAGAGTTTCCAGGAAAATGAAATTTGAAATAAGTTGAAAGACTAAGATTTAAAAAATTCGTCCATGAAAGCGCTCCAGCTTCCTCACTTTGCAAAGTATTTAATCTGCAAAAATATGTGTGATAACAATAAGAGTCCTTTCAGTTTCAAATATTTATATGAATTATGAATGGAGAAACGAATTTTGAAATTTGGATTGTGTAGTTCATTACATCAACAATCTAGATGATAGCAAATTGAAACTTATAGATAAAACACTAATTTAATATTAATTTGAATCATTGTCACTAGTTGTCAAAATAAATTAGAATTGGTTAATATTTTGAAAGAAGACTGAATGATGAACTTAAAAGATCTTTTTCCGTCATTATATGTAGCAAAAAAAAAAAAAAAAAAAAGGTAAAAAAGTGGATTTAGTCCAGTTATAAAGATAGATGAAAATCTGTTTTGTTCCACTCCCCAATATAAAAATGAAATATTTGAAATCCAATGAGTCAAAACCATTAGCATTTCAAAAAGTTGCTATATTTTGTTTTAACTTTACTGACATGAAAATGGTACTAAATAATGTCGCAAAATAAAGAACACACATAACATTTTATGCAGTCTTTTTGCAATCTGTACTAACAATAACAAATCATAGTACGAAAGGTTTAAGGTGATTAAGGTAAGTTAATCCACTAGTAGCTTTTACCTTGTATAGTCATCAATCATAACGATGTAAGCAACAACAACAACAACAAATTCAAATGGAAGTGTGTGAATTAATGATCCTGATAGTGATATTTGCACAAGAATACGGAAGTTTGCCTCTCTTTGAAATACAGTATTTGTTTTGCGTTTAAGTAGCAATAACAGTTGATATTCAAGTGTTAAGTAAACTTTATAAGTATAAGAAGAAACGATAGATAGGAAGTGACAAGAGGTAGCAGTCAGTAAGAAGTACCGGTATGGGCCATTTTTTTAAGTTCATATTTATACAGCTTCGTAATTTATAAAGCTGGCATGCCTTATTAATCCCAAATTTAAAAGGAAAGATTTTCTATTTAAACCATGCCCTTTTTCGATTTGAAATCACACGTATCTTTTGGAAAAAATTTTACTTGTGATACTCATGTAACTATTGTGCTACATTAGAAAGATGGAAAAATATTCTCAGAATTAAAGACGTCACATTTATTGAAACTAGTAAGCCAAACTGGAATGCAAAGCTAGTTTTGAAATGAAGTTAGAAGACTCTTGGAGGTGAAACTGAAAATGATCTTAGGATGATTAACAGCGTTTGCTGGAAAGATATTGCGGTAAAGAGCTTTTTACATTATTATTCGTCCAGAAAGAGCAAGTGAGAGAGATTCATCATTACTTTTGAATCATAAGTGAACGGACTGCGTGACTAAATGTGGTAGGGTAATTTTTCTCGGTATATTTTATTAAAACCCATTCTATTATTCCATCAGTCGTTTTAAGCTTTTATGGTCATCTAGTTTCTAAGAAAAATTTTATATAAATAAAAAATTACTGTCTTTTTAGGGAAGCTTTTGTTTTGATCGAACTGTAACTCAGATTGGTCATAATTTGAATTTAATCACATATACAATAATAATTCTTATCCTCTTCAAAACCTGACCATACTTTATGAGCTATTATTTATAATGGTTTTTACAACCTTGATCACTGATTTCTCATAATCGGTAAGCGATCTACATAAATATTAGAAGGAAAGCAGTTTTATTATTTTTCTAGAGAAATAGAAGAAAAGTCAATTAATCTTCGCATAATTACACTTACGCAAATTTCTATTTTCAAATATCGTTATTTCTAAGCTTAATGCTTTAGACGATTTTATGACATTTTTGGAAGACTCACAGGTCAAAATTTTGATCATTTCTTCCATACGACCCTATTGAAGTTTTCACTATGAAAAACGTTGTTACTGATATTAACAATAATGTGCAATATTGCAGTCAATGATTTATGACAAGATATTCCTTTATTGATATATCATACTAAAAAGTGTTTGAAGAATGTTGAAATTATTTCAAGCATTCAAATCCTTAATGTAATGATACTGCAATATGACGAAGAAGAGTTGTTCGAAAGAAATAATTTTTATAACAATATTTGGAAAAGAAAGAGGGTGACTGGGGAGATAGCAATGCCATCAATATCTCGCTAGTGCTACGGAAAGTCCAATATGCAAATTAGTTTGAATTCTGTAAACAAAATTAATTTTAATTCACTACCAGTGCAGAACCTTAATGAATTTCTAGAAAAGAAATGAATTGCTTTCCTAGTGATATTTATAAATAACTCACCCCACAAAAAAGAATTTGCTAAAAGAGAAACATTTAATGCTTAAAAAACCCATGAGGAAAGTATAACTCACGCCGTGAAACGCAAATAGCCAGTAAATCAAAATTTTCATTTCCATTCCCAACAACTTATTTACCAATTTGTCGTATGTTACAGTTTTCTAAATTTGACCAGTATTCTTAAGTTTATTCTATAAAGTGAGTAATGCTAAAATGTTAATATCATTCTTCAAAGTTTTACTGGATCACATGAATTTGGATCATATGATGAGTAAAGGTTTAGGAGAAATAACGAACACTTTTTGTTTACAAAAAGCTTTGCAAAATTATGTCAGTGGTATATTTGAGACAATGGAAGTGAGAGGTTGTTGTGAAGTGACAACTGTTACGAATGATATCTGCTCGGTAGGAAATAATGTGATTTATTTATTGCAATAAATTATTATTGCATTTAGTGGATATTAGTAACTAATTTGAAATTTATATCTAAGCTAGAAAAGAAGGAAATATTTTCAAAATGCCCTGTACAACATTTTGAAGGTTAAAATGTATTGCCATATTCTTTTCCTTTAATAAAGTAATCAAGTAACACATAACCAAGTAGCATGACAAATATATTTCAAGACGTAATTTAGGTAGTTTGTTAGAGCAATTTTGTTTGCTGTACATAGGAAGTAAATTGTGGATTTTATTTTCTCAAAAGGATTTCCGACAATTTCAATTTCGTGATTAAAACGACAATGCAAGACTTGTTATGCTTACTATGTATGAAAATAAATTATATCCATAGACCTGATGTTTTCAGCGACCTTGTTACTGTGAAGGAAAATGTTAGTGTGAAGGGAAAAAGAATCAAAAAAACCTTTAAACCTCCAAATTAAAAAACTTTAAAACATGCAAACTTAAAATTTACTCTTGTAGTATGAATAAAACAAAGTTCCTAAAATAGGTAAAGATAAATGGATTTGAGTCCGACCTAACTTTTCTCCAAAAACCTTGTTCTAAGAAGTCATCACTTTCTAAAACTTTTTTTAATCTTAGTATGGTCGCATTATAACACAATCTTTAGCTCATTTCTAATAAACATTATGAATAAAAATAGAAATCTAGGTAGAATAATTCTCACATTACAGAATCAAGAAGTCTATTTAAGCAGTATTTTTGCAAATAGTGAACAATATTGTTGTGGCATAATTTCATCTCAGTTAATTTAAAATCCATACTCAAAACACTCAGCAAAAAACACCACAACACACATTTTTCATGGCATTTGAATGGCACTATGTTATAAAACTATAAAAAAAAAAAAAAAAAAAAAAAACAGAATCCACCGTCTATACACCTTATTTTCCCTGTAATTATGGAAGCACATGTACCAGCTTCCATAGACTCTATTTCCCATAATGAATTGCATATCAATGTAAATAAATATCTGACATTGTAGCCAAATATCAAACCCCTGTACATCTTTTTAAACTCGAAGTCATCGATATTCAGATCTGCACTTTAGCATTGCGTTATGGAACTTCGATTATATCTTAAATACAATGATAAATTTTATCAACACTAATGATTTTGGACGAGCTTTCATTGCAAAAAGGTTATCACTCAAATTAAGATTTCCGTCCTATATTAAAAAAAAAAAAGAATAATTTAATGTAACTGCCATTCTTCAGAAAAACAGAAGTACCCCAAATACTGTGCAGGATTCATATGTTCTTGATTTACCTGTTTAATAAACTGCCACTTATCGACCAATTTCAAGTATACTATTATAATAAGAAATATAGGATTAAAGTGTAAGACAAAAACTCTGCTGACGAATGTATTTAAAACTTGATGTTCTCAAAATAATGTCTGCATGGGAAAAGGTTGGTCATTTGAAAAAAAAAAATGATAAAAAGCACAAGGGAATTCGGGAAGAACGTGTCAATTATACAAAGGAGAAACAACTTTCATTAGTTATGAGATTACAACAAACATCAAAAGTCTGCTGGAAATATGATTCACCTCAGAAAGCACACTTATTCGCATTCTCCTGCTCTCCAGTCAAGCTAAAACTGATGACAGCTCTATTTTTAAGCGATAAGCAGTCCTGCAAAAATGCAACTACTTCATTTTACAATTTTTTGCATGCTAATGGATCATACTGCTTGCTTTTAGATTCATGTTTTAAACAACAATGACGAAGAAGCGTCATCGAAATTTCAATGTCCAATTATCTTACTCATGGATATGAAACTGCAGCAGATGAAACATAATTACACCTTTTACACATGAAATAGACCAACACCGCGTCCAACTACCAAAAAAATGAAATTTCAAGACTTTCCTCTGAACATACAAGTCATTTGTAGTACCTGCTCCTGCACATACATCCATAAACGGTTGCTTATCAGAAACCGGCATACAGTGACAATTGCGTAATGCAGAGTATTTATTAACGCCAAAAAGCCACTCCTATAAATAGAAAAATTTTCTCACTTCTAATAACTTGTTTAAATTCATCCATTAAACCCATTAAAAACAGTAACCTTTTGCAGCCATTTTAAAAACTCAAAGATTAAACAGATCTTGTGAAATGGAGCATTTCCAACGAATAACATACGGAAATCATCCAGACTTATGTTAAAAGTACTCACACAGAGTAGAAAACGCATTCTTATCACAGATAGGACGAACTGGAAAATCTTAGATCACTAGTAATCCTTATTTTTTCTTAATGCAGCCATATTTTTAGATTTAAACATGGCGGAGTAAAGCAATAACAAATATTTTATAATTTGAGAATATAGTGAAATAGAAAAGAAGTTATAGATAAAATTGCTTGCAGATTCACAGTTACATTGATTGACAAAATGCTGAAAAGTCATTAAAATTTCAAAAATTTAAACAACTATAAGAGTTACTGTAGCAGTAATTTTTTATGGTTACTGCAGGTCTTTCATCAACCATAGTAATGCAATGATAATGAACTGCAAGTAGCAATAAACGACAAGATCAAATACAAACAAAAGTGTCATTCATATAAATCTGAGTGAAAGAAAAACAGGAATGGATGAGATCAATGGAAGTTGGACAGTTTTTTAGACATCCTAAATAAAAATCATACAAATCAGTTAGATAGGCTGACAATTGCAGTAAAGTATATTATTTGTTTTCTTTAAAGCATCAACCAACAGATTCTACTTCTTTACCCGAGTGAAACATCAGAAGACGTTGATGAGTAATCGAGTAGATGTTGTTGATGAGTACATTCAACAGATGAGATAAAATTACTACTTGGTAACAATACATGTCCCACACTTTCCACTGATGATGAATCTATCGAGGAAATAATTCTACTATTCGTTGGCACTTGTAGCTGCTGAGACTCTTCGCCGCTGCATCCCATTTCCGTATCGATATGAACTGGACGAGTAGTCTTCACCTGAAAATAAAATACAAAAAAAAAAAAAAACTGCTTTTCAAACTGATTATCGCTGTCAGCCTAAAACAGAAATTTTTTATACACAGAATTGCCATACAAGCCTGATCATTGAACGTGTCAGTAACAAAAAGTCTGCTGAAAGAAAAGCCGCTAATAGCAAAGGGCGAAATGTGCAGAACTAGCTAAATATGCATAACATTTTAATACGATAAATCATTTCGAGTGAAAGTTCTGCGATAAAATGTATTTAAAAACATTTCGGCGTTTTTACTTCAATATAACAAAAAGTTTGATCCACATACAGATACAAGAGCAGATCATTATGTACCTTTGAGTACGATGGTGGAGGACTATAAGTTCTGGTGATACCAACAGTACGTGAATGATTTCGTTGTTTTCGTCTATTTCTAGTGGAAACTATACCACCACCACCACCGTGCTGCAAATGAACTCGCATCCCAGCTGGTTTCACAACACCATATGTTGACAAACTATAAATGATCGATTACAATAATTTTTTTAAGCCTTAATTCTTTAATCCATTCATAATTCTTCAAATTCAATTTTCCGGTGTAAATTCTTTTCACTGATTAGGCGACATTACCCCAAAATTTATAATAGTACAAAAGATTAAAATTTTGAGCTTTAGTAAAAATGCTAAACCGTAATACCTTGCAGCAGAAGGTGGTGGTGCAAAAAACTTCCGCGAATTTGCTTTAGCTACAGCAGCACTAACTGCAGCAAGCATGGAACCCTTTTCCGAAGGGCTACTATTGAGTGAGTGAAGATATGAAATTGTATCGGTTGATAATCGTGAATTTGGTGGAGGCAATGCATTATACAGCGATGATGCTCCAACAGAGTAAGTATGAAGCTGGAACTAAAGAAAATGAAATGAAACTTGTTTACAAACAACTGCTGAGCAAACGAAATCTATAAAATGGATTATTCCAGATTTCACGGAATTCCTTAACAACATACCTCAATCTGCGTACCATCTGGATGTGCTGACAATAGCACTAGTGGCTCAGCATTCATCGGCAGTGAATGTGTTGTTGCATGAGATAAATTTTGTCCTAGTGGTCGTTGCTTCGAAAGATGGCAGCAGCACACACTTACAATACTAAGTGCTAAGAAAAATACTGCCAAGGGTATAATCAATTCGAATGAAGGTGATATAGCTGTAGCAACTGTTACTGTCGCAACAAATTCAGCACAGAGCTAGAAATTCATAAGTGCAATGGCATTTAGCTTTGAAATGCTTTTAATACATCTTCCAAATTAACTGAAGTTTTAACCTGTTTCTCTTCATCCTGACCAGCATAGCAGTTGTTTATACCATTACAAATCAACTCTCGGCGAATACATTCAGCAGGATGCAATGCAGCATTTAGTCCAAAGGTACAGTCGAAATAAAAAAGCGGATTAGCACACCGGCAATGAGCCTCGTCTGATCCATCGGCACAATCTTCTGCTCCTAAATAAAGAATATATCGAAAACCAAAAAAATGCTGACATTTGCGAAAAGTTAAGTTCACAAACAGTAAATTAGAAAAATGAATAAATAACCGTTACAAACAAGCGCTCGGGCAACTGATGCTTTCCTGTTATCACATGGCCATTTATCAAAAGCAATATTGCCACACCAATGCGAAGATTCATCACTACCATCGGCGCAATCATAATGACCATCACATTTTGCCATTGCATGTATGCATTTCTGTCCATCGTCACATTTAAATTGCCAATGCAGACACGATGTATGTTTAAAACAAAAAGTTTCACTGAAATTATAATTCCAACTTCAATGTTACAAATATAAATATGATGTTCTCAGTCAAATAGCAAAACTAACCTTGGAGTTTGCAAGCCAAATCCAAGAGGGCAAAGACATTCATGACGTTTCCTAGAATCTCGTGGGACTCGGCACAAATGTGAACAGTGTGATACTGCACAAGTATGGTTCAAATTAACATAAAAGTCCCTTTCGATACTGCCAACCACTGTCAGTGCCAGAATATGCTTTACTGAAAAGGGCGATGTTGTGCTCCATTTCAGTTCATCCAAAGAAACAGTAGGAATATCATCCATTAGTTCCAAGAGCAGATCATCATATCTGTAATTGTGAAAAAGAAAAACTGACTGGCACGTCTCTCGTATAGATAACAACTAAATTGTAGATTAACTCTAACTGGGATTCATTTTTCGCAATAATTATCAATTTCTTCGCGTTGATTGGAACCATATCAATATCTGAAGGTCGCGCTTTGACGTGATGACGTACATCCGAAAACACGTGTGCATCTCGTGACCACAACCCTAAAAACTAATTATTCCTTCGCTGTCCAAAAACCTAGCTTACTGAGCAATAAAATACGATAAGTCTGCTTAACACAATCTTCACAAAACGACCTGTAGCAAAGCAAGTTTATTTCCTCGATTTTAAAAAACAAATCTAACCATTTGCTGTCGTATAGTACAATCGGTCGTTGATTTGAAAAGCATAAAGTTTCACGGTGTGCATTAAATTTGGTGCTTCCCACTGTACACACTGGCGACCATTCAATGAACACCGAACAATCACAGGAATGGAAGCAGCATCATCAACGTAAAAAAGGAGGCTGAAATAACTTCCACTAATATAAGAGCTCCAAAACTTAACGATTAAACAAAAATCACGAACTAATTTAATGAATACACTGCAAAGAGACGTACTTCAGTCTAGGAAAAAGAGCAATTTGTCGAGGATAAGGAGGTCGATCAGTTACTACAGAACGCTCTCTTCCTGACACGACAACGCCGATATATTCCAAATGATCATTATTCTGAAGAAAAATAAAGTAATTTTGTTATAATAACTGAAGACAAAAAATGTAAATACGAAATACCTTTATACGCCAGACATGAATGGATGATGCATGACTAAGCCCATGTTCTGCGCATGAAACAAATAACTGTCGGCCTACTTCATCGACTGCTAAGTAGAAAAGTATCGCACAATTCGAATGTTTTGATAATGTAATTGTATGCGTCTAAACATAATGCCAATAATGTGAAAGTAACACGAATAACGAAATATTCATTTACGATGTTAATTTTAATTCTTCAGTAACTTTGAAAGTAAAAAGGTAATAAAGTGTATACCATGGATTGCGATAAATCTGATGATCGTTTAATAACTTTATCATCATTTGAATCAATCCAGTAAATCGAACGATTTGCAGAAAATAAATCAACACCCACTGAAACCGGTGTGCCAACATCTGTTATTGACAAAATTGAATAAGGGTCCTGAAATTACATTAAATCAAAATCAGATCCTTTCAAAAAATTCTGGTTAAGACATACATTCTTCCAGAATACGCCACCGGTATCCGCTTGTCTCAGATTGAAACGTATGAAGCGACCTCGAACAGCGACCAACAGAAAGTGTTTTGGTGCTAAAATAAAAAAATATTTCAAAAAATATAAATTAATACCACTCATTCAGAATACAAGTATCCTACTTTCCTTACCTACGTCTTCATAGCAATTTTTGCAAACAAATAAAAAATAACTTACGCAAGCACTTTCCACCAACGTCATCAAAGGTAAAGTGATCCTCACAAAAACATTTGGCACTTGCGTTGTACAAACTTCCGCTGACTGCCACGCATATATCACTACAGCCACCATTGTTCTGAACACAGCCATTCCAACCTAAACAGTTATGAATATTTAAGTTAAACGGCATACAAAAACGTTTGTATTCAACAATTTCTTCGCTGCTGTTTTCAGCAGGTCCATCTCGTTATTATGTAATCAACAGAACCATTGGAAGCAGCAGCTCATACACACTAAATGAAGCAAGCTTGTTTAACTAACTCATAATTTTTTCCAAAGAACAAACAGATTCACCTTTACTTATCTGCGCATGTGCAACAACAAGATTTGAAACATGACTGACACCATCATGTAAAACTGTTAATGCATGGCCGCTATACAGATCAATAGTATTGCTATTCATATTGGCAATATATATTTGTCGATTATAAACAGCTAATGCAACAGGTAATAACTGTTCACTATATACTAAACGAACACGATTTCTCCCTGCAAATGATTTGATTCCTTACCTTGAAACATTCACTATTTAAAGGTGCGGCTTGAAACATGATGAATCAGTTTCAATTCGCATCACCAATGAGTTGTAATAATAATAGTAACGAAAATAACGATAGATATCACAGATTTAACATCCATTATAAATTGAGTGATTTTGGTAATTTAGGCTACTTATACGATTCCACTTTTTTTTTTGATGGTAGACTCAGTTAGAGTGCAATAATGTAAAAAAAATTTTTCAAGAAAAAAAAAATTCACTCTCTCTATGAAGAAATGAATTGGCTTAGTATCTAAACTGGATCAATATCATTAGATAGTAATCGATTCGCTACTAACAGTAGATCCCAAAATCCAAAAACATACATCTCTGTCTGGAAGACAAAAAACAAACCACTGAAGTCAGAAATGGAAACTCCACCTCCACGTTCATTCAGTTCTGACCACACTAACAATTCAGATTCAAAATCAATTGCAAGTGCATTAACTGTGTCCAGCTGTTGAACAATAACTTGGCCTCCTGATTGTTCGCCATGGAGAGGTATTTTCTAATTATGTAATACTCGTAAAATGCAAAAGAAGAAACCTAAAGATGGTCTTAATCAAACCATCTTCAAAAGAATACTTCTAAACAAACAATCAGGAAAAGAATTTCACTGTGAAACCGTGAAAAGTAAGTTAGAAAAAGGCATCTATTTCAAACACAGAATTTTTCAGACTAAAAATGAATGCATAAAATTTAGACCTTCTATCAACCAAAACGAAAACATTATAAAACAAAGAATGCACTTACATTTATAGTGATTTTTTGCCGATTATAATAATTAACAAAAACAAGAAATCGCTGAAGTGGATGGACAACTAGATATCGAGGATCAATATTTTCCCATGCAATTGTACGATGACGACGTCCATCACCACGAACCATTTCAATTCGACGCTGTTCCATATTACACCTTAAAATGACTAAAATTAAAGTAAAATCAAAGTAGAAGAGAGATGTATAATGAAAACGTCGATACTTTTTTATTTTTATTTTATTTATTTATTTATTTTCTCATCTTCTATCTCACACCTTTTATTAGAAAGCAAGCGTACAAACTTAATACCATTGAAATCCAATTCAAAGCTGGCTGATCTTTGTAAACACTCAGAAAGGCTATGAAAAATTACTCTTCTTACATATTAAAATCAATATCTTTGAGTTCAGAAAAAAATTCACTGTCTAACCAATAAATATTTGAGGTGATCCAGTCCACAGCGATATAATTCACTGCGTTTCCTTCATACACAGTTTCCAAACCAGAACCGTTAAAAAAGGCGCTACGAAGTAGTGAGCGGATCGAGCGACCACGTCCTTCAGATGACCAAAAAATTCTCTGGGAATTCTAAATAAAAGGCAGCGATATTTAACACAATTTGATGAATGGAAATGAAAGCATAGCATGATAAACGAAAGAAACCAACAATAACAGAACGACTGGGCATAGTAAATGCAATCATAAACCTCTTTCAAAAAAGGATCATGTTCAGAGATCAATCACGTCACAAACAGACGAAGTATTGAGATAGGGTTGTGTTGCTCATTAAACATGAAAAACAAATCAGTTACATAAGAAATCGAGTTAGTCACCTGATTGATGTCGACGCTAACTGGAGCTGATGTCATATCAGCAATGTTGATACGGTGATTATTAGCTGGAGCTGTTTCCAAAGAAATTCGCATGATGCTATTAGCTGTATTCACTGCAGGGCTTTGAGTGTAGATGAGAAATGCAGTAGGAAAAATGCATGTTGTATTATCTGCTTGCAACTCATAGCCAACCGGACAAACACAGCCTCTTTTGCCATTTGGTCTGCAGAAAATGTACCATTTATCAATTGTTTAGAAAACAGTACTCTAATATGTTCACCTATTTAAGAGAAGTGAAGTAGTTCAATCAAGATAACTTCGAAGGTTTATTAGATAATGTTCACTTGACAAATTTCAGTAATATTTTATTTGCTAATATATACCAAAAGAAATATTTTATAGAAATCTACAATAAATTTCACTGTTTTAAAATTATACTGAATTCACGAACTCACAGCTTGACACAAATGTGCGAACATCCACCATTACTTGTCTGACAGGGAGAAACACCCTCCGGGATATGATTCAGATTAACCGCTCGAATACCCATCTGACCAAAAATAACAGAATCAGATACCACAGATAACTGCACATTCAAAACAGATTCATTGTGTCGAGGTACACGAAATACTGATATCTTACGACCATACAGCGAATTGCAGTATAACGAATTACCTGCAAGTGAAAATCTTATCACGTTCAGTAAAATACGCCTTTTATTAAAACTAAATTTAGAATTAAAAAATTTTATAACTTTAGTTCTTTATCAATTCCTCAATTAATTAAAAGGATTCCACATTTTTCATTTAGCTGTTTGTACACAATATTTTAACCGCTGTGCTCAGTTAAAAAGAAATCCTTTGTTTCGAGAGGTAAAATAATATGATACCAACATAATATGAAACTCGACAATACTAACTCCATCACTTTTCATCAAATCTTGATAAGGACAGTTGAACTTTGTCTTCATAAAAAATCTAGAAATTTCTGAATACACGCAAATGAATATAATGAAGCAACCTAATATAGTAAGTGAATAAGGATGGTTCACACTTTCTGCGAAAACCTGAACATCTAACTTCCCATCAACTGCTACTGACTTAATAAATGATCGACTCCCTTCTGCCCAATATAAACGCTTATGCCTTGCATCAACCACAATTCCATTTGGCCAGGCATTTTTTTCCAGCGAAACCTGAATTCTGTTAAAATGATTCAAGACACTAATACACGAGAGGAACAATAACCAGAAAGAGCGAAATTTTAGAAACAGAACAAAAACATACGAGCACTCGCCTATGTGAACCATCTAGCCATGCTTTTTCGATGCGGCTCGTGCTTTCGTGCCAGTCTGAAAAAAACATATAACCACCATCTGGATCCAAAGCTAAACCACGTGGCTGTTTCAATCCGTGCGATATTACTATCTGTCGTCCTTTGCTAGATAAGCTTTGCATCTAAATAGAAAATTTTTCTAGAAATTTCAAGCACAGAAAAGTTAAAAACATTTAAAACAACATGAGTATATCGTCAGTAAAAGCGACCTTTAAACTTGATGAAGTGAAAATGTAGACAATATCAAAACAAATACAATGTTTGAGCTTCTTCTAATTGCTACATAAGATTTCAGAAGTAACAAACAGACAATCACTATAAAAAACAGTGCATTAGGAACCTTGATTTGTGCAACGTTACTATCTAACCAGTATAAATTACGATTCAGCCAATCAACAGCTAGAGCATCGGAAACTAGCTTATCTGAATCTTCAACAAAGACCTGGAAACAGGAACATCAAAGTCTTTCAGCAATAACCTAAAACTAAAACAAACGTTAAAATATAACATTTTTAAAAAAAAAAAATATAATTTTCCAAGCTAAAATTAACCTCCATTCCTGTGCCATCTGGATTGCACCTACGAATAACACCCATGTCTCCGTCAATCATGAATAACTTCTTATCGATTGGATCAAAATCAATATGCACAACTTTAGTGTCTCGTATCTCAGAAGCTACATTTGGGAGTGGCAGAGGTGTATGATGGGCTGTATCTAATGAAATAAAAATCAAGCCTGATGTCGTCGCCACATATAACAAACTTTCTATTCCTAAAATTTCGAAGACAGAAAGACTAAAAAAGCAGCTTCGAATATCTTCTAACATAACTTGCATCAATTTTACAAATTAGCACCACAAAGCATTCAAAATCTGAAACAGTAGAGAAAACCACATTATCTTACCAATTCTTCAAAAATACAGATTTTTAGTTACGTAAATATGAGATAAAAATGTAGCTTAGATCATAATAAAACATCTTTATCTACCCAGTACCCACCACCTATAAATGAACATTACTATCACAAAGTTGTTTAGTGACTTATAGAAATAAAACTGAAAATTGTTAATTACCATTAGGTGAACAAGTTAAACGATCTTGAAGAAGACGAACTCCCACCGGGCATAGGCAAGATCGCCATGGTGCACCAGGAATCAGAACGCAAATGTGTGAACAGCCACCGTTTTTTGATTCACAAGGATTCAACGACTGCTCTGAAATAAGAAAAACAGGGTTTTTAACAGAATAACCTTCAAGGTTAATACTTGAAGTATTTTGAAATATGCATTAGTATTTTCACACCAGCATCATTAAAGACTTCATATAAATCAATTTCACAACACAAATATACAGTGGACCGATTTAGAAAACAATGTCTGAAACTTACTCAGTGGCTGAACCTCTTCATCGAATACAACGAGAGCTTCAACACCACTTGAATTGATCATTTCACGAGTTGTACGATCACAGTCCATTTTCTCACATACTGTTATGCCGGAGTTCTGATTTGTCACTGATGTCCATATCAAATAATCCTTAATTCTTTTTATTAAAAAGAGACATAAGAAGGGTCAAAATTCTACTGTCGGAAAAGATATTCGATTATACCACATGATGCTTGTGACCACATAATTCTCAAATAAATATTTCTATGCAAAACAAAAATGGATTTCGAACCAACTACCTACACTGAAAACATCGAGGTAAAAGGCGTTCACTTTACTGGCAACTGTTCGGCACGATTCACGATCATATAATGAACAGCTCCAAATTTGTGATTCGTCCAACGATGTCCGAGTACGAACATAGTACAACATTCGACTTACCTTAAAATCAGTTTTTTTAAAAAAAAAAAAAAAAAAAAAACGAAAAATCTGATATTGATTGATTACGACAATTCCTTAAACATATTCATTCTTCATTCAAACAATCTACAATAGAACAAGACCACAACTTTATAACTGGATCAAAATGTTTTTCATCACCTCTTATTCCAATATGAGATGGTCTTACTCCCAACATATGTGTTGAAATGAGTGATCAGACAAACCCCGTTTATTCGTTATATTAAAAAGAGGTCTACAACTAACTGTTGTTACAAACGTGTTGTTAAAAAACAATTTCTTTGCAAACATTTATAATCACAGATTTTGGAAAATAGATTTACCTGTTCTAGCGTAAGAGCAGATGTAGCAACAACACCAATAGTATTATCTTTAAAACAGTGAGGATCGTGATGTCGACCATCCATCCACGCCCGTTCAATACGTTTATGCACACGATTCAACCAATACATATAGCTACCAAAAAAAGTTGGTAATGAAGACGTGATAAGTTTCAACAACAATAAAGTTCATTTGAATTTGAGTTTACAAACGAAGTAAATTGATTCAGCACGAATTCAAGCAAACAGCGAGCCTAAATATGTAGCACTTCTTAAAAAAAATCTGGTTTTTTGGAGGACTGTTAGTAATAAATTAGAAAAATTATTACCCATCAACTGGGTCAAGTACCAGAGAATGAAGGGCATCAACTCGAGAATTCAGATTTTCAAAACTAGAGTGCAGTGCAATAGCACAAGTAGTCTGGCCATCCAAAGGACATACTTCTATGCGTCCAGCATTATGTATACTAGCTGTTTCAACACCCACGTATCTTAAAAAGTTTCCATAAAAAATCTTGCTTTCATTACTTAATGACACAAGCTTAAAAGATATGCATAACTATTACCCACTTCAATAACTATTACCATGTTACCATGTTATGCATAACTATTACCATGTTATATCGACGTTCAGTTCCATTTTTTCCGATTGTGACTCCCTTTGACAGTGTTCTATCTACCGTACAAAAAAAAAGAAAAAATTTTTTCCGTCAAGAGTAGTTGTTCATGTCACTTTTTTCTTTAAAAGCTTTTTCGGGACTTGAACCGTGTTAAGGCTTAGAAAGTATTAATTTTGATTCAAACTCATCTAAAAATTACTGATATATGGTATGCGAAAAAATAACTCGCAGTTATAAGTATTCCACAAGTATTCATCTGTACGGCTTGGTCTTTGGAATAAGTTAAGAAATTGAGTCTAAAAAACATTGAAATGACTTTTACATTATTAAAGAGATATTTTGACAAGGCTCATCTAGCTGAATATTTCCCAAAATATTCCTTTTCTGATGTTGCAACTTACTTCCATGCGGAATGCGAATACCAACGTAAGACAAGCAAACCACTTTTTCCACTTCAAGACATCGAAAATTAAAAAAATTTAAAAAGGAACATACAGTTTGCCAGTTACCCAGTCGATAGCAAGTGAAGTGACTGTTTCTTCTGCAACACCGCTACTGCGTTGTATGTATGATGGAACTGTACTATTATCCAGAGCAATCACGCGGATGTTGCCACTAGATGATCGCTGCCAGCTTTCCATATAGGCCAAAATGTTCTGTAGTACTGCTTAGTGTTATAGTTTGATACTGCTTAATATTAAATATTTCCAAGACAAATTTATTATAAAAACTAGTCAGTATTAAAACTTTAGTTAATCAGTACTAACAAATGGAATATGGTTCTTTCCACGCTATTCGTATTAATACAAAGATAAATTTTAGTCAAGTGGAACGTATATCAAAGACCAAAATACTGGAAGAAGTGTAATGCCTCAGGCTTTTTCTTTATCAACCAGCAGTAGAAATAGATGATGCGGTTAATGCCATATACAAACTTAGTTAAATAAAAAAGAGATCCTTATCAAAGTTTTGGTATTAACCAGCCGACAAATGGTACACCTATATAAATTATGTTCATCCTTTAGCTAGTTTCCAAAAATATAATTTCAAACCCTGCTAAAGTCCAAGGCGATGAGAACGGGGAATGATTCATCAATACCAGAAACAATTTCCGTTGCTGACGTGATCACAGTTTTATCGATGTCTAGTGTTAATTGTGTGATAGTTTTCCGTTGTCGAGCTAACACTGGAACTTTTGTTAACACCGCTAAAAAAGCATAAAAATGACCACATATTCATATTTCTAACGCATGAGATTTAGTCATGTGTATCGAGAACTAAATTTTTCTAATTGTTTATTTCGCTTTTGAAGAGGCCAAATTAAGCACTTCAGCTTGGTGTTTCTCTTGAAATGGGATAAAGCTGAGTGGAAGGAGGGACTCAAATAAGATTAATTAATGCGGATGAAATTTTCAGCCCGACCTTCAACTATATAAGCTAAATCCATGGAGTCTCGTAGGTAAAGTAATAAATAACCTCGTTCGATGAGAGCATAATACATAGCGATGGTAAAGAGATTTGCTTTCATGTCACTTCATTGGCCATGAAATTCAAAGTGTTGAACTGTCAAAGATGGAAACTGAAAAATGTTATGCATATATATAACCTGGACGGATGCAGAAGAGAAAGCAGGCAAATTTTAGAAGGCCTACGTAACTTTATCGACATAGAGTAAGTCATCATACGCTCCCATGTTGAGAATAGCATTCTATTGACTTTATAGCTGCCGATTTAGATACAAAACTCTATGTTTCATATAGTAAGCTACCATGCACGCCCGCACTTCGTTATCATTGCTCGCACCCAGCAGTAATATCCATACTTTTTCGAGTGTCTTCTACTTTACGGTGGCACAATATCTGCCAACAGAACTGATGATAGCAGTGCTGACTTGATTTAATGGGCAAGTGGTTGAGAGGCTAAACTTCGCTGTTTTAATTACAAATTTTCTATTTTTTCCACTTTCAAGAAAGGAACTGTTAGATTTGTAGGTAAATTTAAAATGACTGATCTCATGCTTAGTTTTCATTACACAAGAGACCATTTATTTCTTTGCCAGTCATTTCTGTATGTGATGTAAAGATAAATGGCTGAAGAGGCTGTATTTCTCAGATGTAGAACAATTCCTTCCTCAGCCAAAAATTTCAATTTGAAATAAAAAGCCATTTTCAAAATTATTTAGCCTGTTTGCTAATTTTCTTTTTTTTTATTCTGTCAGGACTTTAATATGTAGCACAATAAATATCTTGGTGGTCGAAAGAGTATATATTTATCATCAATAGATTGAATATTCCGAAAAATAATAGAGAAAATAAATAAAAACAAAACAGCTACAGTTGCAACAATATACACTGTTATGACATAAATCAGTGAAACAAAACATACACTACTAAAAATATTGTTTCCTTCACAAATCACTAAAACGAAAACATCTGTCATCCTGCTTAACACTTTTCTAAACAACAGTTCAACTATTTCGAAAAATTTTTTCAGTCCAAATCATTTTTTAGACCAAATCATTAATTTGCTAGCATACATGTATCACCTATTAAATACAAGAATTAACTGCAACTATCAGTATACAAACAAAAAAAAAAAAGTATGTATTTATGATGAAACCCCTTGAAATATTCACGAAAAGAGCGTCTAAAAGTTGATATTCTCTAAAAATTAAAAGAAAAAAAAATCATCTTCATAAGGATTTTCTGGGCACATTCATATTTACTTGGGTTTTGAATGTCGCATTTGGAAAATCTTTTACCTACTCAACTTGCCGCTTCTGACATTACTGTATTTTAATCGGAAGGGTCCAACATTTATGCTGCTTTAATTTTTGCATCTGAAAATACTTAATAATTCAAGGGAAATTTTACAATCTTTGAAAGATGTTTCCATACAGTTATATGATGAATAAAGGTGTTAGTCTCTCCGACCAACTTTGATGCATTTTTAGGAGTAGCAAATTAGACGTGACATTAATGTGTTATTTTGGAGTGGTGACTGAATGTTATGATAACGGAAACAGAAAAGGCAAAGTATATCTGTAGAAGAATTAGCAGCCTGATCAGTCAGAAAAAGATGACTCGTACGCTGGGTATTTTTGAATTTCGTGTAAAAGATAGAAAAGAGATAAACAACGTTGAGTTGTAAGAAAAGATCGCACTGTAGTGAAGGCACTGGTTCTGCTCTAAACATTTTGAAGGCGGTTAAACATGGATATAGTACAGCAAGTCGAACGTGGTACGCAGTAAAGAGTCCTTGTTTGCTGTAGTCAGATTTTTGTATAACTAATGTAAATTCTTATAAAATATTAAACAAACTAGGATTGTGAAGGATAATCAAATGTAGCATATCCACTAATTTTATCGTTATTTGAACTACCTTTACAAATATTTTAAACAACTTTATTAAAGGCTAGAATCCTTTCTGTTATCCAGTTATACTTGTTAACGACACTATCCACCTACCTCTTTATCATCTGTTTTTCTTGATATTGCATAGCCAAAATCACTTGTGTGCAAATATCCAAAGTTTATTGAATGGTATTTTAAAAATCATATCTATCTTATTTAAGGATGTTAGAAAGTACCGGTGAGATTTGCAACATCCCAGGGGATGACTTTTTAAATATCAGTATAAAAACTAATGGGTGGAAATGGACAAACCAAATTTATATTTTAAATTTTAAACAATAATAATATATTGGAATGATTAAACACACAAATAAACGGGACTTACTGAGTTCTTCTGATACATCATTTGACATGAGCTGTTTCCCAAGAATTTCGCTAATACTACCGGACGCTTTTGGATCCTTTCCTCTGGACCTTTCCTCCAGTTCTTTTTCCATTTCACTAACTAAATACAGATCGTTTATTTCATTCAAAATAAAGTTCAGGTTAACATTGGTAATGATAATAAGATCCTACATGCTCTTAAACTTCTGAGTTTCTTCTCAGCTTCCATAAGAGCTTCCAGCACCACCGCATTTCTTACCAGTTGTTCCAATCGCCCTCCGAAGATATGAGCTGGCCAATATTTTATAGCTAAATTCGCACATACGCTTGCTTCTTCATTGAAATCTCTAAACTGTGAACATTTCTGGCAGTTATAAAAGGATTTGAAAAGTAAAATATAAATACATTAGAAATATAAAACTACATTTATTAATATTACATTTATTAATGACTTGTATTCATATTTGGGTTCAAGAATATTTGGGCATTCTTTATACTTATGGTGTAGTAAAAAAAGATTTAGTGCTACTCACTCAAGAACATTTAGAAAAGTATAAATAAAAAGGTTGAAACGAAATGAACAAGTTACTACTAGATACATGAGATAATTCCAATAATTCAGTATTGTTCTCTTATAATTGAAAATGAGTTAGAGAAACCGGATAGGAGAGTAGGGAAAGTTAACTGAAGATAACGTAGTGATATGGATTGAATATTTGCAACATGATGCAACAAGCTTAATTAGAAAAAAGAGACTGGTAAAAAAGAGAAGGAATAACATATCATAATCATAATAATACGCAGCAATAATTTCAAAGACATAGAAAAAGCAGAAACTGAAAAATACTAACAAACGATGATAGAGTTCAGTGAGATTTAAATATAAACGAAAATATTCGGGATCATCCTTAAGTCGTTCCTCAACTTTGCCTATCAAATTTAAAATATTTTCTGTATCGATATTTTCTTCTGCAGAACATTTGTTCTCTCTGAAAATCTTTATATAATTTGCTTCATAGCTCAAAACACCAACCCATTACTTTAAAATAGTCAAGAGAAAAAAGACCGAAAACTTACAAAAGAAAAGATGCAATAAAACCAGGAAATAACAAATCTTTCTCTAATTCCATGCCGTATTTTATTGCTTCATCGGTGTCTCGGTTAATAAAATGAGCCTAAAAGTTTTTACTATGTGATGAGCATCGGAATAATGACTAGGAAAAAAAAAGCTCCACTTATCTTTGCTTACCAAAATATTATCGACTTATGCAGTTCATAAGGAAACTAATTACTATCATTAGAAAAACTTAAAAACTGGTGGTGCTTACAGAAAAAAGACACCATAAGGAAAAAGAGCGATCCTTAGGTTTGAATTTGTCCTGAATTGCTTCAATGTATTCTTTAAGTGAAGCGAGTGCGCGGGCAGAATGATTGCTTATATTATCAATCAATGCTATTTCCACCACCGTATATTCTCTCAGCATGCTAAACATGAATGTACTCCATTTCAATTTAAAAAGACTCTAATTTCATCTAATCGCCGAACATTGTTCTTAAAAATAGCATCATAGCGCATTTGCTCGGTGTATGTTAATGTACGCTGTAACAAAAATTGGGAAATGAGACACACTCAAAAACAATGTGTTCTGTTTCACCTGTCCAGGCTCGTAAGGAATGCTATTGAAAATATAATGGGACATAACTAAGAAGCCAGATCGATACAATCGGACAGTATATCATCTCGATAATACGGAATGTCGTCTTACAGATGTTTCAGGAAATATGATTTTTGATCCAGTATTCTCAGTTCAGAGATTCAGCAATGGAATATATGATTGTTTTCAAAAATATTAGGGATGGCAAAGTTTTAGCCCAATGAACTAACCCAATGTGTAAAAACTGTCTGTCGGCCTTGATGGCACGATCACATAAATTTTCAACATTCTCCAACTTCATCAAATTCGTTGTATTCATTTCCGCTCGTGCTTCTACTGCACCTCCCAAAAGTTGCAAGCGTAAGATTATTGTGAGCGCTGTTTGTGTATAAAACTGTGCTTGTTCTTCGGATGAGAACATTGATAAGTCGAGATTCCTTTAAGAAAATTTTGATAGAAGTCTGTCAATTTTCAATCCAGAGAGTAGAGATAGTATCTAGAAGGAAAGATCTTAGTTTACGTTCCGCTAATATGTCTTCTGCAAGAACGCATCAGCATGCAACCCATCTATACGATGATGTTTTGAAATGCTATTAAAAATTGTTTTTGTACATCCATTTTCCTTACTCAAAAGGTGATGATGGCAGAGCGCGCGCTAAGCTCATGTATCGCATAAAAATTTGTTTTCGTCGAGGAAGTGGCACTTTATACTGATCAACTTCCCAAAGGACTATAAAAGTGTCCAAATAATAATCAACCTGAAATTTCTGGTGCTAAAAAAAAAAAATTGAAAACTTTACTGAGATATAGATCAGAAACAAATGAAAAAAGCTACCAGCTAAATTCCAGTTTTGAACAGAGATGATTACGCAGCTTTATATATATGTCAACTTTCATTTACATTTTAGTTTCGCTTAATTTTAAGCAACGTATTTGGAAGACATTTACCTTATTGTCGCAAATTTGCGAATAAATTAACGAGAGCAATAGAAATGCTTCGGATCTATAAATTCCTTGTCTTTCTGCATACGCATCAAGTAATGTGTCAACAACCATACTATGATATCCTCGAGCCGTTTGCTTCAGAGCATCCTTATAAGCACTACAATGATATAAGTAAAAAGGAGAAAGAACGTAATGATTCAACTGAATCCAATAAAAACAAAACTTCTTATCAAAACAATACAACAAGAAAGGTGACAAAAATTTTTTTAAACCGACTATTTGTAGAATTTTTGTGATTACGAATAGAATTAAGGTCATTAAACATCAAAGATAGTTTTCGATAGGAAATTCTTTCAGAAGCATTTGATGAGTCTGAAGGGTACTCTATTATAAATATTACAAGACAAGGCACAGGAAATCAGCCTACTGAAATAAAACATGACTACTACAAAACATTATGTAAGACGTACTACCACGTTATAATCGGAAAGTCATTAAATAAGTTGTCACTTCCGATGATCATTTCATCCAAAATCTCATCCAAAAAAAAGAAGAAAACCTCTTCCTATTACGGACTTTAATTTAGGTTTTGAAATTATAAAAATAAAATGGGAATTGTGACCTTTCAGCGAGTGTGGATTTGTTCTGAGGATTTCTGTCTTCTTCACGAACAGATAACAAGTCTTCGAGTAGTATATCGTCACATGGACATAGAGCCCACAAATTTATCCAATCCGAAGTTAAGAAGGGCTTTTTGGCTCTCTGCTAAATTACGAGATTTCTTCAAATTAAGTACCAATGAAAATATGCATAGTTTTTGAGTGCAGTAAATCATTCTGAGACTTTTATTCATTCTACCAACCCTGAGATGATCTGACATCAGCAGTATCCTGGTAAATTTCATTGATAATGAGATTGTTTGTTATTTCCAAAAAAGAGCGTTAAGCTAACCAGCAGTTAAGCTTATACGCATTTATATGTTAAATGTTCACTTTTCATCGCTAAATTCTTATCTGTTCAATTTTCAACTATTTTTCCCTTGTTTTACCACTTTTATGGATAAAACTGATTGCATATTTCATACATATCTGGTAACTACTATTATATAAAAAAATTTTGACAAAACAAAGGTCATATTCGCTTTATCTGTGAAAATAGCTATCTCCTTCATGTCGATAAGTAATGAAAGTGGCAATCTGAAACGCAGATAGTGAACGCTCGGGCATTCGTGGTGTTCTTGATATTCTTTTAACAACTGTAATCTGGTAATTATTTTAAAAATTAAGGCTTACTTTTTCTTTTTCCAATGACCATGCCATCTTCGCTGTTTCTCGAAAACAATAAATGGTATCACTCACTTCTTCCTTTGCTACTATCAAACGATACTCCTTCATCAGTGTCGTAAATAACACAAAGTCTAATAATGCTGTTAGCTATTGAAAACTTTTTTTATCTCTTTCTCCTTAATATTTTATACAATGATTGAAATGGGACTCTCAACCGAGGCTTAAAATGTAGTGCTGAACAATATTGCAATACTGGTGTATTCTACAAGCTTCAGAAAGTCCGAAGTATGTGAGCCAGAAATGACAAGAAACATTGAAAACTTTCTAACGATTAAAGCAACTAAGACAGAAAAGCATTATGATCTTTCTTCAGTAGGGTGTAGTTAAAATCAAAGACTTATATGCAGCAATAAATGATTACTTTGGAGAACAATGATAAGAAATTAAAACTGACCTTTATAAGCTAATTTGTAGTTGTGACACTCGTCGCGCAGAAGAATTGCCCGTCTTTTGTACCAAAAAGCATGAGTCGAATCTTTCTCAATTAGCTGGTTGTAGCACTCAAAACATTTGGTGAGAAGACTCTAGAAAAGTAAACAGAACTAAAAAATGTATATTAATGTAATTATTTTTCACTTGTTTACTCAACAAATGATAGATATCATTTGATTTTATTTGAGAAAAATAAGTTAAAATTTGACTTTATGTCAGTGAAAGTTCCCGATTTTCCACTACTTCAATTAAAATTTCAATTTCACAATAACACAAACAGCGAAAACCAGTGCAATTTAAATTAGTTTTCATAGAAACTGGCAAAAAAGAGACTTGATTTCTCTCCATCCTATAGAGTACCCAGAAACAAATACAACATTTATCCTGATATACTCGCAGCATTTTCATATCCCTTCCAAATTCATCGCTGATATTCCCGTGCTCGCCTAGTATCTTCATTGCGCATAAAAAATCAGCATAAGCTCCACGAAAATCTCGTTCCAGAAACTTTTGATCACCTCTACTATGATAGTCGGTGGCTAATAACCTATACTCCTTCAGCCTTGCATCTAAAATATTTATTTCTATTTATATTTGAATTTCCATTTCAACACCGAAAAAACGAAAAAATCACTGTTACTTTAAAAAGTTTGTGTTTCCAATACTACTGTATCAAGCAAGCTATGCATCTTGAAGAAAGTGATTTTATCTTATCTATCAAATAGCTTGAACATTTAGTTCCTTATTGTAACAGCATTACGTTAAATTTATTGAACTGGCTTATTTAGATCTATCAACAAACATTCCAAAAACATATGTGAAAAAAAGCAGTAAACATTAAGATCGTTATTCAGCCACAGTGATGCTTCTTGCGTTAGTAATGGATATGAAGTACACCTGCAATTTTTCTTGCTACAAAAACGTTAGTAAGATCACAGACAAAATACTGTCTTACACTCCCGGGATGTTTCATTACGACTAATATTTCCTCTTGGCGTTCGGCTGATATTTTCCGTTATAGAATTACTCCATAAAAATAAAGGGTTGCACATTGGCTGTGCCTCAACTCGTGCGTTTGAGCTGTCATTGCTTGAGACCTCTTGTGTTAAACGACTTTTTCCCGCTGATAGTGTCTGCACAACGGAGCTTTTGCTTCTAACCTTCTTCACTTTTTTGCGACTTTTGCTTTTCTTAACCATACTGCGAAGTCTGTAACAATGGTCAGTTCACGGTATTATTCACGTCTGTTTCTAAATGCAGATGTTAATGTTCTCGCGGCTAATGCTTTCAAATTAATACATTGGTGGTGTCAACTCTTGAATCCTGGACCTCTTCCTTGATTCATATGTTTACAATTTTACCTTAATTCACTACTTAAATTTCTCCTTCATTTCCTTCCCTAACAATGAGTAGAAAAAAAAAAAAAAAACCAGTCATTCAAATGAACAATTAGAAAAATTTAGTTCTCGATACATACGACCAAATCTCATGCATTCATCTTGATTTGTATACTACATATAATTAATCTAACCAGTTAATGAGAATGATTAGTGCACAGAACGGATATCTACTTCAAGACTAGGTAAAAGCAGAATATATCAGAGCAGCTTTGTGCCACAAAGACATTATAGATCATTCTCCATGTTTGAGTGGCGAAATCGCATGCAAATTTTATGTCATCCAACAATGAAACAATGCAGATTTTATTAAAATATGCTTCACAATGAAGAACTTTTGAGATCTAACATAGAAAAAAAAATTATAAAATACATTGGAAATTCGGATAATTGCAAATGAAAATTCGTGAATTGATCACACTGCATTGTAGTAGTTTAAGTTATGCGCACGCTGCAACAACGATAAAGCAATGCAAACTCCAATCAACTGAAATATTCTCTCACTGTAACCATAAGCGATCCCACAATGTTCGTAAACTTTCACCTTCGTTTAATTATAACTGCTTTTAATTATTTTTGCATTCCATCAGTGTGTACAATTAAAACAGAAAAAGAAAATTTAAAGACGTCAGTTAAGGAAACAACATACAATAACTGCAAAAGTTCAAACAGAAGCTGTAATAAATCTTTTAACTGATTTATCAATTTGAACCTTACTTTAAATGTATTATTATAATGAGCAAAATCAACTGTACCTTAAATATTGCGAATGATAAACCAACCAAGACAAATATGATCGTCTGGGCAGTGAGCCAGTCTAACAGCTTTTCATGACAACCCTACAAACAATGGTGTATTATTCCAGGATGCTACACCATTAAGATGTTAATGAGCTACACTCTATTTTTTATATTGTATTTCAAAATGGCTCATCAAATTTGGCACGTATTTCTGTAACCTAAATGGCGTATGTAACAGAAAAGTGGAAGTTGTTTTTTGGAGAATCCTTCAGCAGTTTACTACATTTTCCAATCATTTAAATTTCTTCCCGTTCAAGAAATTCTGGATGTAGGCATGTTTATCTCTTAGTTCAGCTTGTCGATACTTTTAAGCAAGAAGTCTCACACTCTAAAATAAATGATTTATTCATTTCCAACTTATCTTTAATACAAAAATAAGTTGAAAATGACTAAAGCACACCAAATACTTATTTTTTTCACTTTATCAGCATTTCAAAGTAATATTTCCAATAATTTACCATAGTTATCAAAATTATGTTGCCAGAAGGAAGATCATGTTCAGTGAACTGACTACAATGACCATAAAATAAAGAAGCAAAGATTATATGGACGATAAAACGTAATAAATATAAATAGCCTCATGTCCAAGTGATTATCTACTATTTGGAATCACCACTGTATCTTTGAGAATTGAACGGGGAATTAATAACAATAGAACAAAAATGTCAATGTACCCACTCACGAAAATGCAACAAACAGTAGTTAATTGTTAATGAATTTTTGAACATGCACCACTACTCCAATTGTAACAATATTAAAACACAAATTTCACTCATTCAGTTTTCTCTTTTCTATTTCCTATATGACCTACAACAAAAAACTAGGATCACTGAAGAACGAGGAAATAAATTTGCCAATAACATATGCCAAGTGTTGTTGAAATTTGTTGTACTACACTCAACAATCTAAGACATATCTTTCATAATCAGTGCCACTTGTTATCATGACTACCACAATTAGCATATCACAATTTTGAAACCTTTAAACAAATCTCGAGTCTTCTCTATTTTATTCTTTTAGCATGAACACCTTCTCACAATCTTGAACAGCACTCATTTCCCGATTCTGTACAAAGTGAAAGACGACCAGTCTTTCGGCTAATAAACCATTCTTAATAACAAACTCTTCTCACTCCTCTCCCATCCTTGAAGCTACCGCTCATGGCGGTTCTTCCACGAAGAACTTTCTTCACTACGAAAATAGAGGACTACCACCAAAATGCTTATAATTACTTCAGAACTCTCTATCGTCTCTATGCACCTCCTTCATCATTATTGTTTTAAACCCAACGTTTCTCGTCTTCTCAAAAGTTTGTTTCCTCATTGCAATTATTCCTAATTGATAATGTGCTGTAACTGTTGCCCCGAATTCCAAACTAGCAAAAATCCTACTTCCTTTTTCTTGATTAGCTTGAAATTGCATTGAGCTCTTTTAATCACAGAATTATAAAAATGGCTCCGCTTATCTTCATATTATGACCCAACTAATGTGGTAAATATCGTTTATCATTTTCAACTGTGTTATCAATTATTTACCATGTTCCCAACATGGTTTGGTCATACTGAGACATCATTTACCACCAACTCTAATCCATTAGTGCAAACCAATGCTTACGTAACTGTACTTAGAATGATAATGTATTTCTAGTGTTTTGTATTTTAATGATTCTACAAAGTATCACTAGTAAGCAATTTTGGACGAAAAGTTTTTAGATTAAAGAATTATGGGACTAAGGACAACACCCTGATTTTTCCATAATAAAATTAGAATATGTTGAAATGTACAGCACCCGTCAAAGTAGCTGCGAAGATTTTCTACGCTTAAAATAAAATGTGAAGAAAAAAAGTAAAGAGATATAAGCACCATACCTGCGCATTGACAGAACTATTGAAAGCAGAAGTATAGTAGTTATATGATGTACACATTGGATCAACTGGTTTTATGAACCAGGTTCGTGCCTCCCGCATTTGTTTGCAGCACGATTGCGGTACAAATGATATGGTACCACGCTCTGTATTGGTTTTGTACCAGAAAGAATCATAATAATTATGGGGACCGGTAGCACCGCAACACTGTTGCTGAAGAATATATAACTACATCAACAAACATGCATTAGTTAGGCATGTTTGGAATTTAATTCAATATATATTGAATTGTTTACGTACCATCTATAGTGATTCATTATCCATAACTTTGCCCAAATCTACCGGTAGGAACAAATCACGACAAGCTTCTGCTTTGCAAGAGACATTAAAAAACCAGAAAAAACTACACGAAAATAACACTGATTTAATAACATGATGACAAGAAGTTGTTGGTAACACCCAGTTCAAAAGATACAACAATTCGGAAACGAAGACGAATGACTTAATTAATTAGATAAAAAAGAATTCTAGGACATAAATTTTATAATATAAAAACAGTGGTAAGACAGAAACGTTTGATAGCTCACAGAAGCATATATGTACATATACCATATAAACCGCTAATTATTCATACCTTACATCCCCTAATGTTCCCGTCTCCGTAACACAAAGGTGACTAATTCCATTCGTCAAATTGCAAGTGGCAAAGCGGTTATACATTATTCAGCAATTTTTTAACAACCAACTTTTGTCATGTTATTTAGACAAAAGGTGACCGTGTAACTCAGATATATTTCAGGAAGGCAGAGTGTTCAGTTAATTTTGTTCCACACAGCATATAGGAGCCTATCAAGAAAATAAAAGAATGGGTAGAACCGAGTGAGAATACTGACTTAGTGTAATTCATAAAATTTGAATTTTTATGTAATAAATAATCTTGATGACTTGGTAATTTGCAAAGTTAGTGTCAATCTTAACAAAGCAAACGGCTTAGGTTTAGAATGTGTTATATTGGCCAAAAGGATTATTCGAATTTAAGATTTCAAAGTATTAGCTACAGATCTCCTGAAAGACTAATTCCTTTAGATATTTCAGTACATGCATTAAACAAAACGAATTTCACTCATAATACTTTCAATATAGGATACCGTCTGATGTCTCCATAATTTACTAGCTTGAAAATGTTGACAACGTGCCAAACTCCTGGCAACCGGATTCTTTGGTGTTGCACCAGCCAACTGCACACAGCATGTACTCGGTACTATATCAAGACCAAACTCTGGGTTATGTTGAATTAATTCAACACCTGTCCAGTAGGATGCACGCCACCGACTACTGCTCCACTCCCTGTAATCCAAAGAACCACAACACTGTTCCTAAAAACCATTGCAAATTATAAATCTTGAAATATTCATATACCATCTCAATATTAATATCGTCGTTAGTATCATTGATACTGAGTACTGCTAGTTAGCACCACTAGCAGTATTCATAATCAGCTAAATTCCGTGTTACTGAAATTGCAATGAAGAAAATATAACTAACATTAAACTGCAGTTTATCAATGAGCGCTGTTACTTTGGTATTATATTCGATAGCTGTATTAAATCCATAACTTTCTCTTATCATCAGTTGCAATTTCTGGTCAAAATCACTTGTTAAGAACTAAAATTTTAAATAAAATTCCACTCGGAATTTTGAAAATTCGGATGGCATAATTTGAAAGTAAGCAAATGAAAGATTTGATAGCAATGGTTAGATTTTCTATCAGGAGATTCTATCAGCTAACTGCATCATACCGCTCCTGAAGTTTTTAAAAAAAAAAAATGTTAAAAACAATGCGTCAAAGCTTCCTAAGAGTAGCTGTGAAAAAAATTTCTGCAAATGGTAAAGTGTCAGACAAAAAAAAAATGTTCAACGGTTGTCCCTGTGAGAAAATTGAATTTCACATCAACAATGATGAACGATAATACAACGACACTCCACAACACACCATACAATATTTTATCTTTTCAAAACCTTTAAAAAACGGAATAAACAAAACAGCAACATACATGCAAATAGGTGACTATGGGAACAACATTAAAGTTATGGGAACAACATTTAATTCTAAGGTATTACACGAGCTGAGATATGA